TTTTTTCCATTCTGTGGGCTGCTGTTTTGTCTTGTTGACTGTGTCCTTTGCCTTACAGTAGCTTCTCAGTTTCAGGAGGTCCCATTTATTAATTGTCAATTCCAGTGTCTGTGCTTCTGGTGTTTTATTCAGGAAGTGGTCTCCTGTGCCAATACTTCCCACTTTCTGTTCTAAGAGGTTCAGTGTGCCTGAATTTATGTTGAGGTCTTTGATTCATTTATAATGAAAAATTCATGGTGAAAAGTTAACTCCTGCCTTCCTCTACCCAATTGAGAGGTAATTTTTGTTTGTTCGTTTGTCTGTTTTTTTTTTTTTTTTTTTTTGAGACAGGGTTTCTCTGTTTAGCCCTCGATGTCTTGGAACTTACTTTGTAGATGAGGCTGGCCTAAAGCTCAAGACATCTGCCTGCCTCTTATCTCCCGAGTGCTGGGATTAAAGGTGTGCACCATCACCACCTGGAGTGGATCATTTTTAAAAATGTATGAATATTTGCCTGTGTGTATGTATGTGCATTGTGTGTGTGTGTGTAGTGTTGAAGGAGGCCAGGAAAGGCATTAGATCCCCTGGAACTGGAGTTATGGACAGTCATCAGTTACCGTATGGATTCTGGGGACTGATTAGGCATGAGTCCACTGTAAGAACAGCAAGTGATCTTAACCACTGAGTCATCTCTCTGGCCTTAAGATTTTATTTTTTAAAAGATTTTATTCATGTATTATGTATACAGTATTCTGCCTGTGTGTATACTTGCATGCCAGAAGAGGGCACCAGATCTCCTTACAGACAGTTGTGAGCTTCCATGTGGTTACTGGGAATTCAGGACCTCTGGAAGAGCAGTCAGTGCCCTTAACTTCTGAGCCACCTCTCCAGCCCTTAGGGTTTAAAATTTTTTTTTCTTTTTGTTTTATATGGATGAGTGTTTGTCTGAATGTATATTTATGCACCAGGTGTGTGCAATCCATGTTGGAGGCCAGAAGAGGGCATTGGGTCCCCTGGAGCTGGAATTACAGATGGTTGTAAGCTGCTGTATAGGTGCTAATAATTGAACCCAGACATATGTGCAGGCAAAATACCTATACACATAAAATAACAAAAATTAACTAGTCATGGTGGCATACTCCTTTAATTCCAGTACTCTCAAAGCAGAGGGTTGCTTTAGAGAGTTGAACTCACCTTGAGCCACTTTATTAGAGGCATCTTCTTTTGTTTGTTTGTCCATCAGCACTCCACCACCACCACCAAGGTTTCTCTGTGTAACAGCTGTGGCTGTCCTAGGACTTGCTTGGTAGACCAGGTTGGCCTCAAAATAACAGAAATCTGCTTGTCTCTGCCTCCCAACTGCTGGGATTAAAGTCATGTGCCCACCACTACCTGTCAATTGGAGGCATCTTTGAAAGATTCAGTAAAGATGTTTTTCTTCTGGGTGCTTTAGCTATACAGGAAGTCTACTTTTATTTCCTTTAGGATCAGAGCTAAGGATCTTTTTTCTTCTTGTTACTGAGATCTGCCCTTTTGACCGACTTACCCTTCTTCAACCTCAGCAAAATCTAAAATTTCGGGGGATAGTAGTCTCTTTGCTTATCCCTCTGACTGCATGAAGAGATGTTTCTTCCTGCAGCTGAGAGTAACAGCAAGGAATATGAGGGGGTTTGCTGTGGTCTCAGCTGCTCTTTGAGGCTTGAGTGCTCTTATTCTAAGCACTATGCCCATGTGGCTAGAAGAGGGCATCAGATCCCCTGGAACTGGGTTGACCAGTCATCAATGTGTAGGGATGGATGGGTTATTGAGTCCAGCTCAGTGTCTTGCCCTTTCAGTGTTGCTGTTTGAGTTTTTGGAAGTTGCCTTTTGCTGATGTCTTGTCCTGTCTAAAATCTCTTTAAGAAGATACTGAAAGGGGAAGAAGAAGGATATATTGTAAGGGGAAGATGAAGGAGTGTTCTTATTTCAGCTTCTCCCCCAGCCTGCTTTTGTACCTTCTCTGTTATCTCTGATTAGTGAATTTTCCTTTTGGGCATGGAGTATATTGAGGACAAAAAGGCAAAATTTATGGCAAAATTAATAAACACAAACACCACCAAGTAAAATAATTTTAAAGCATTAGTAGATTTGCCCAATTTCATCCCAAGTTCTAATGCTCCTGGTTTTTATTTTTAAAATTAGGTCAGAAAAAAAGTGCACGTCAGTATCATGTACAATTCTTTGGTGATGCCCCAGAAAGAGCTTGGATATTTGAGAAGAGCCTTGTTGCTTTTGAAGGAGAAGAACAATTTGAAAAATTATGCCAAGAAAGTGCCAAGCAGGCACCCACGAAAGCTGAGAAAATCAAGGTGATAGAGGTCCCTTTAATGTGTTAACAAAAATTTTAATTCTTACTAAGTTTATTTTCACCTTATAGTTGCTTCAAGTGGTTTCTTATATAGGTGATTTACCTTATTTGTTTGTTTTTTATTTATGGAAGGGTCTCACTATGTATCCTTGGTCAGCCTGAAACTATATAGATTAGCCTAACTTTGGATTCATAGAGATCCACCTGCTTCTGTCTCTAGCCTTGGGATTAAAGAAGCCAGTTACCAGCAGGGTGTGGTGGCGCTTGCCTTTATTCCCAGCACTTGGGAGGCAGAGGCAGGAGCATCTCTGTGTGTTTGAGATCAGCCTGGTCTGCAAAGCAAGTTCCAAGACAGCCAAGGCTACATGGAGAAAAAAGAGGGGGGAAAATGTCAATCACTATGCCCAGCCTAAAATTTTCATTTACTTTTATCCAAGTACGTTATTTTTCATTTACTCATTTGATGACTCACAGAAATAAATTATTTTCTGATTTTTATTTCTTTATAAAAATTATATTGGATAAAGCTATTAGTATTGATTTCTAGTTTAAAGAACAATAGTTGTCAGCTGAGTTCTATCTAAAATTTTAGTTGTTTTTTTATGTTTTCCTTATCTGATATTGTAAAAGTGCTTTTAATTGAGTTACCTTTTATATTTTGTAATAAAATTCATGATGATTTGTTTTTTTTTTTCCAGTTGTTAAAACCTATTTCAGGGAGATTGAGAGCCCAGTGGGAAATGGGCATTGTTCAAGCAGAGGAAGCTGCTAGCATGTCAGTAGAGGAGCGGAAAGCCAAATTTACCTTCCTTTATGTGGGGGACCAGCTACACCTCAATCCTCAAGTAGCTAAGGAGGCTGGCATTGTTGAAGAACCTTTGGGAGAAATGGTGGACTCGTCAGGAGCCAGTGAAGATGTTGCTGCAGACCCTGGGTGTATGAAAGAAGAGGATATTCCCATGAAGAGAAGGCGAAGAGTCAAAAGGTCTAGTTCTGCTGAGAACCAAGAGAGTGACCCTAGAACAGAAAAGAGTACCCCTCCAAAGATTGCAGAGGCTGAACCTAAGAGAGGAGTAGGCTCTCCTCCTGGAAGGAAGAAGTCCACAGCTTCTGCTCCACGGAGCAGGAAAGGAGACTCCGCATCCCAATTTTTAGTCTTCTGTCAAAAACATAGGGATGAGGTAAGTACACTGGTGTGTTCTGAGTTATTTGTTATGCTACAGAATTTCCAAATTTAAGGAACATTCCTTTATTGCAAAAATCCTCTATTTCTTAGTATACTGCTTGAGCATTGTTTAGTTTGTTGTTTTTTTTTAAATAAATTACTTTCTTTTTAGATTTTATTTATTTATTGTGTATACAGTGTTCTGCCTGCATGCATACCTACAGGACAGAAGAGGGTACCAGATTTCATTATAGATGTTCATGAACTACCATGTGGGTGCTGGGAATTGAATTCAGGACCCCTGGAGGAACAGCCAATGCTCTTAACCTCTGAGCCATCTCTCCAGCCCCTGAGCATTGTTTAGTTTTTAGATGCATCCGTTATTGTTGGAAAACAGGTATTTGCACTCTTGTTCCTCCAAAGTGAATAAAAAGTACCAGCAACAGTGGGAAGTAGGAAGTGGGTTTCATTGGGGGCTCCTTTTGCTGGAAACTGGGCTCACTCCTTGGTGTGCATTTTCTCTTAACAAGCTGTTGTGAAGCATTCAGTATGGGCCATGTTACTTATAAAAATGGTGCATTTGTTAGCACTGAGTATGTTGAAGGTTTATTTCTTTGGTTTTTAAAAAGTTAGTAATATATAAATGAGTAAAGTATGTAAATACTTCTAGTTTTTAAATAAAATATATGATCTATCAGTGTCATGTCTCATTTCCATTGTAAGGAACCAAGGTTCCTTATAGCCTGAGACTTGAAGCCCTTTCTACTATAGTGTTCATTTTAATTTTACTTTCATAGAATTTTTTTGCTCAGAATTCCAAATCTGTATTAAAGTCACCAGTAATAAGTAGTATCTGGGGACTAGAGAGATTGTTCAGTACTTAAGAGAACTTACTTCTCCTGTAGAGACTCTGGATTCAGTTCCTAGCATCTACATAGTGGCTCACAACTACCTGGAACTAGATCCAATATTCCCTTTTGGCTTCCATGCCTACCACACACATATGTGCTATTCATACATACATGTAGGCAAACACTCATACATATAAAATAAAAATAAATATATCTTGGAAATAAATCAAAGAGAAATACTATCTAAACTAGTCAGATGACTTGATGTATTAGGGTACTTTGACCAAGCCTGAGGATCCTAGTTTGATATCTGGGATCCACATGATACAAGGAGAGAACTATCTTCATTGTTGTCCTCTGACCTCTGCACATGCAGTATGGCACACAAATACAATAAATATCTAAGCATAATTTTAAAATGAAAGAAAGAGTGGGTCAGTGGTGGCATGTGCCTTTAGTCTCAGCACTTGGGAGTCAGAGGCAGGTGAATCTCTGAATGCAGAACCAGCCTCGGCTACAGAGTGAGTGAGTTCCAAACTACACAGAGAAATCCTGTCTCAAAAAAAAAAAAAAAAAAAAAAGGAGGGAGGGAGAAAGAGAGAAGAAATGAAACATTTGCTGGGTGTGGTTGTTCAGACCTTTATTCCCAGGACTTGGGAGACAGAGGCAGATAGATCTCTGAGTTCGAGGTCAGCCTAGTCTACAAAATAAGTTTCACAACAGCCAGAGAAACCCTGTCTTGAGAAACCAAAGGGAAAACAAATAGTATCTCGTACCCAAATATTATCCATGAGTGTTTAATTAGCTCCTGTTTTGTGGTAGGCAGCATGGCCTAGTGCAGGATTATGAGGAATTTGAGGAGTTGGATAACTGAATGGTTATGAGTAAATCATGGGACATCTTATTTTTTTTCCTACACAGTTTTCTCAGAGAAAATGATGGACTAGTGTCTTGAAAAAGAATTAGTAAGCCATGCTAGGCATGAAGAAACATAGCTATAATCTCAGCACTGTTTGGAAACTGAGGCAGGAGGATTGAGTTTGAGGTTAGCCTGGGGCTGCATAGGGAGAACACCCAAAAAAAAAAAAAAAAAAAAAAAAGAAAGAAAGAAAAAGATAAAAAAGGAACCAGTAGCTCTTTCCTTGATGATAGAAGGTTTAGTTAGTATTAGAAAATTTATTGGAGCTGGAGGGGTGGATTAGTGGTTAAGAGCCCATACTATTCTTGCAGAGGGTTAGAGGGTTAGAGTTCTACCACCCATGTGTCAAGTGGCTCACCACTATTTGTAGCTCTAGCTCCAGGGGATCCAATGCATCTGGACCCTCTTTTGCTAGTGGCTTATTAAATTTTTTTTAACTCTTGGACTTTCTCTACCCCTTTTTTCAATTGTTTTGTCATTTTGTTTAAAAAAAAAGTGTGTGTGTGTGTATGTGTGTTCGTTCGTGTTCGAACTCGTGTGTATGTCCTGGTGGGTCCTCATGCTTTGGTTTATCTATGGTGGTCAGAGGACAACTATATGGTGTTGGTTCTCTCCTTCCATCTTTACTTGGAGTCTGGTGATTGAATTCAGTTCCTGACTTCAACCTCTGACAAATACAAAAGCTCATGAACTGTGTTGAAATAAGTGATGAGTCAAAGTGGGTTGCAGAGCTTAGTGTGTATTCTTGTATCTTTTCTATATCCCTACCTCGAATTCAGCTGCATGTTAGAAACTCATGGGGAGTTTTTTTTTTTTCTTCTTTTTTGTTTTTTCCAGACAGGGTTTCTCTGTATTGCTTTGGAACCTGTCCCTGAACTCACTCCGTAGACCAGGCTGGCTTCAAAGTCACAGAGATTCGCCTGCCTCTGCTTCCTGAGTGCTGGGATTAAAGGCATGCGCCACCATTAACTTGGTTTTAGGCAGGATCTAAACACTGTTGGCTTTAACTCCTGGGGTTATTGCCATCTGCAGTTAAAACTTCGAGTTACTGCTCAGTGACTACTGTGTGCCATACCCACATAAAAGACTTGTGAAAATGCAGATTCCTTGCTAGTAGGTTGGGAGGGGCCATCCTTACCATATTCCAAGGATACTGATATTCAGTAAGTGGAGAATCTGTTGCCTTTGTAGACCAGTTGTCTTTGTGCTGGCTTAGCTTAGACAAAAATTGGGGCTCGCTTGTTAACTGTCGTCTGTATTTCTGATCCATGACTTGTATTGAAAGATAGGGTGGCTACTATAGTCGGTGAGAATGACAAGCCAAGACTTCATTTCATGTTCAGAGGAGAATTTTTGTACAGCTTGCTGGACTACTAATTTTTCAAGGATGCCTAAGAAATTGTGATTTTTTTTTTTAAAAAAATACGTGTTTGCCAGGTGTTGGTGGCACACACCTTTAATCCCAGCACTCAGGAAGCAGAGGCAGGTGGATCTCTGTGAGTTCGAGGCCAGCCTGGTCTCCAGAGCAAGTTCCGGGACAGGCGCCAAAGCAAATGCAACCAAAAAAACCCTTTTTTAAAAAAAAAAAAAAAAAAAAAAAAAAAAAAAAAGTACGTGTTTTCTACTCATCATTTGTCATTGTTATTTTCACTAAGAAATTTTTGGTGAATCACTGAATTGTTATATGCTATTTTTGTTTGAACCAAATTTTCTGGACACAATTCTATACTACAGAAATAAAAATGCTTCATACTCAATTCTAAAGGACTGTGTGTTTGAGTTTCTGTAAATCACAATGAATTTTGTGAGTGTAGAGTTCTTATTGCCCTCCCTTCTGTGTTCATAGGTTGTAGCTGAACATCCAGATGTCTCAGGAGAGGAGATTGAAGAATTACTTGGATCCCAGTGGAATATGCTCAATGAAAAGCAGAAAGCACGATATAATACAAAGTTTTCCCTAATGACCTCTGCCCAGTCTGAAGAAGACTCTGGTAAACATACATCTATTACATAGGTCTTCTGCTTGGATATGATGTATAGAGTGTGTTCTCATGAACAGTGTGCATGATCACGTTAATGCATGTCATTGTCATTTTCTCCCTTATCTCCAGTGCAGTTCTTCTTGATGCTCTGCAGGATCCTTACTTTATTGTTTACCCAGAGTAGGGAATTCTGGCTGTAGTACTTGAAGGGGTAGTATAAAGGAGAGAAGGAAGAACAAAAGGTGGCTGATTCTAGCACTCTGGGCTTAGTGGCATGGGCCCGGCCCAGTGTAGAGCAGTTAGTTCTTGGCCTATTGGCTGGAGAACTTGCAAATGAGATTACTGGTTGACTTTCACTTAGGTGTCTCATTTCTAGCCCTTTGGTTTAAAACTTTAAAAAAATATACTATATGAAATATCAGTTTAAGCTATGGCAAGATGAGGAAGATCTGAAGAAAATGTCAGGTTATTATGCATCAGCACTTAGACACACAAGTAGCAAAAAGAATTCCTGTTAATGTCAAAATAAAGTGTAATGTGTTTCACTATTGAGTTTTGGAGATGCTAGACATAAAAGCCAAGGTATCCTAGAATAGCTGCCTTAGGTATAGATTGTGACAGTACATACATTAGTAGCCTATATCCAATATCACCTCCTGGAGATACTCATCTTGATGTAGGGCTTGGTAGGTATCTGAGTTACTTTGCTACTGCTATGACCAAGGCAACTTACAGAAGAAAGTTTATTAGGGGCTTATAATTTCAGAGGGTGATTCCTTGATCTTCATAGAAAGAAGAATGACAGAAGTCAGGTAGACATGGTGCTTGAGAATTGCATCTTGATCTACAAGTATGAGGCAGAGAGGGCTAACTGGGAATGGTGTGGGTTTTTGAAACCTCAAGGCCTATCACCAGTAACACACCTCCTCCAACAAGGCCACACCTCCTAATCAGTACCAAACTTTCTACCTACTGGGAACCAGTCATTCACATTCAAATATGTGAGCTTGTGGGGGCTATGCTCATTCACACTGCTAGAGTTCCATATCTGTTTATTATATTGGTTTTGAATTTTGTTCAACATGTTCAGTGCTTGTTTAGGTGCTGTAATTAAAAATAGCAAAGATTTTTAGAGTTTGTGAACTTCATTTAAATGTAAATTAACCCCATGGTGTGTTAGTATACTAAATCTTGAGTGATAATTCTTTTCAGTGGCTTGTATACTTTTCAGTAGCTGGCACTTCTGAAGCCAGAGTTAGCTTACCCTGAACAATAAGTGTATTTGGGGTTGTACATAATAGATACATAATGATGGTTTCCCCCATATTATTTGTCAGGTAAGTGCTATGCCTAAATATCCTCGAACTGTGACTTCTAAGTCACCTTGGTGCTGAACATAAAGATGAATAATCTCCCATTGTCAGCTATTCTGCTGACTTCGTGTTAGGGAACTCAGATTTCTTTAGGAAGGGCTGTGTCTCATCCCAGATAAAGTAGGCAATGTTCTGGGTGTTTATGGGAAAGACAATCACCTGACAGTGGAAAACTTGCTGGTCAGTACCTGGGACTCAGAATTTAGGGTTGTGAGTGCAAACCAACTGAGGTGTCTGATTAGGTGTGCCACATGGTATTCATGACTCCAGTAGTGGCTGAGTGAGCTAGCTTCTGCTGTCTTCAAATTCTGCAGATAGACCTCTTTCTACCCAGCCTTTGTGACTAGTCTATAGCAATGTGATCAGGATTAAAGCCTAGTAAAGATCTTGCTAGGCTTTGTTCATGCTAGCCTAGAGTTAACTGTGATTACTTGATTCCTTCAATAGTAATTTGAGTCCCAGACCTAAGGAGTAGCCTTGTGCAGTTGTTTTTTGCACCCAAGGCATGGCACTTGGGCCTCCTCCTGAGGCTTTCTGGACATGTCTGTGCTGGTGTGTTTTGTCCCAAAAGATAGTGAGTTTGAGAATGATAGTTCTTAAGAAGTGGTGTAAATAATGAAGTCTGGTGGCATATGCTTGTAGTTCCAGTTACTCAGGAGGCTGAGGCAGGATGATTCAAGGGATGTCTAGCCAGTGCAATGAGACTTTTTCTCAAAATAAAAAGTAAAAAGATGGCTGGGGATATAATTTAATTCCTGAGTTCTATTCTCGTACCATACACATATTCACAAAAGGAAGTTTGATAACTAGGACCCTAATAGTTATGCAAATGAAAATAAAGAATTTGTATTCAAAATAAACATTGGCATATTCAAAGTGGTTCTTTTTGCCTTCCATCGTATCTTTCTTGGTCAGAGATATTTGGATACTTTATTATAGATTGGTGATATTTCCAGACACCTAAAATAAGGCACTGTGAAACATATAACAGGAATCACTTAACTTTCAGATGCAGTTATAATTTTGCGTCTTAAAAAAAATACTAAGCAGTGCAGTAGTGGCTCATGCCTTTAATCCCAGCACTCAGGAGGCAGAGGCAGGAGGATCTCTGTGAGTTTGAGACCAGCCTGGTCTACAAGAGCAAGTTCCAGACAGCCTCCAAAGCTACACAGAGAAACCCTGTCTCAAACTCCCCTCCCCCTCTCCCCACCTCTCTTACTATTTAAGTGAACACATTTTTTTGAGACAGTGTTTCTCTGTTATAACCTTGGCTGTCCTAGAACTTGCCATGTAGACCAGGCTGTGTAGTTGGAAGTTTTCCTGTCCCAACTACCTGCTTCCCAAATACCTGACTTTCAGACTTAATATAAATTATAAATACTTGGCCAATAGTTCAGGCTTGTTACTAAATAGCTATTACAATTTAACCCATTTCTATTAATCTGTGTGCTGCCCCAAGGTTCATGGCTTTTATATCTATCCCATTTTGTGTGTCTGGCTGGCGATTCCTCTGACTCTGCTTGCCCCCATCCCAGCATTCTCAGTTTGGCTTTCCTGCCTAACTTTATACTGTTCAGCTATTGGCCAGTCAGCTTGTTTGTTAAACCAATCATAATGACATATATTCATTCACACAGCAAGACTGGCCTCGAACTCACAGAGATCCGCCTGCCTCTGCCTCCCAAGGGCTGGGATTAAAGGCATGTGCCACTGCCACCTGGCTTTTTTGTTTTGTTTTTTGTTTTGTTTTTTGAGAAAGGGTTTCAGGGTTTCTCTGTGTAGCTTTGGAGCCTGTCCTGGCACTCACTCTGTAGACTAGGCTGCTGGCTGCTGTGTTTTATTTTATATGTTTGAGTATTTTGCCTACATGTATGTATATGTATACAGAGGCTGGAAGAAAGTGTTGGAATTACAGATGATTGTTAGCCATTATGTAGATTCTAGGAATCAAAGGCAAGTCCACTGTAAGAACAAGTACTCTAAACCACTGAAACATATTTCCAGCCTCTAAGTTGTAGTTTTCTAAAAGTTGACTTCAATTCTACTTGTCTTTACATATTAGTAAATAAACGGTTCGTTTTCCCCACCCTGAGTCTTGCTGTGTAGGCAAGGCTGGTGCTGAACTCAAACCCTCTTATGCTAAGCCTTCTTGTGTTCTGGGATTACCAAGTCTAACTGTAAAGGATTTAAAAAAAAAAAAAAAGACTGAGTTCTGTGGAATAATCCTTCTGTACACTGTGAATATGTATTACTTTCATTGGTTAATAAAATGCTGATTGGCCAGTAGCTAAGCAGGAAGTATAGGTGGAACAGCCAAACTGAGAATGCTGGGAGGAAAAGAATGGAGTCAGGAGTCACCAGGAGAGACAGAGATTAAGACATGCTGGAGGACAAGTAAAGCCATAAGCCACCTGGCAATACATAGATTAATGGAAATTGGTTAATTTACATTGTAAGAGCTAGTTAGTAATAAGCCTGAGCTATCTACCAAGCATTTGTAATTAATAAAAGTCTGTTGGCTGTTTAAGAGCAGGCGGTCGGGACAAGAAAACAGCCTACAACTGGGTTATATTTAAATGTAATGCTATGGTATATTAAAAGTACAATATCAAGATAATAATTAGGCAAAATATTTTTGGGTCCCTAGGTTTTTTGTTTTTGTTTTTGTTTTTTTTTGGTTTTTCGAGACAGGGTTTCTCTGTGGCTTTGGAGGCTATCCTGGAACTAGCTCTTGAAGACCAGGCTGGTCTCGAACTTACAGAGATCCACCTGCCTCTGCCTCCCGAGTGCTGGGATTAAAGGCGTGCGCCACCAACGCCCAGCCCTAGTTCTTTTTTTGCAAAGAGATTTGATCTGTAAAACATAGGCCTTGGACATGAGCCTGGTTGCTGAATACCTGTCACTGTTTGCCTGATGAATGCCAGAGCAGGTTGGAGACTCTTTTTCCTACACATTTATCCCAATTCTCATTCTTCATTCTAAGGTAATATAAATGGGAAAAAAAGAAACCACACAAAGAGGACAGATGACCCTCCAGAAGACATCGATGTTGAAGATGCACCCAGGAAAAGACTTAGGACAGATAAGCACAGTCTTCGGAAGGTAATGTTCTGGGCTTACCTGGCCTGTATGAACATATGCTATAGAGTTCTTGAGACTCAGCCAAGATATAGGCAGTGTGGTCTTCTGGACTCCTGCCAAAGTGGTATTGATAAATAAGGCTTGCCCTTTACTACATTGAAAAGCCACTGAAGAAAGGACATGCTCATTAACAATTAGGAACATTAGCATAGAACTATTGGTACTAGTCTATTCAAGGGAACAGCATCCAGATGCTTTGAATAATGTATGACATTTTGGTTTTGTGTGTTAAAAGCTACTCTTAGGTTGAAGGGGGCATAGCTCAGTGCTAAATTGCTCAAGTAGCATGAGCCTGACCTTTAGTTTCATTGCCAGTACGTTTTGTCTATAGGATGATTATTTATTCAGTGTGTAAATGAGGTACATGAAGACCCCATTAAAGATACTTTGTACTGTAATAGGAAGTTAAAGAATCTGTAATAGATACTGAAAATGGATTATATGATTTACTCACTTTGTTAGTAATTCATGATCTTGTTTACTTACTGGGAATCCAGTGTGGGCTTCATTAAGGCAAAACTGAAACTATAGTATGAATGAAAAGCCAGCCCAGGGCCTTGAGTCTCAGTATTCCCAGTATCTGTTAGGACAACTTGACTGATACCTGAAGGGAAGTGAGATTGAGCAAGAGCTATGTGTACAGAGCAACTGTGGATTACTCTGTCTGTCATATGAAGCTTACACATGGAGAGAGTGAACCTTTTAGCACTATTTGTTTCAACTGTCTGGGATATCTAGTTAACTTGGCAAACTTGAGTTTAATTAGGCTTTGAACTGTATATTTGAATTCATATTTAGCAGGAGTTCTGACAGCAGTTATATGTTCATGATTTGAATAAAGCTTGATCTTTCACTGACTTAAATTGCCTTTATCTTATTTAAGATTTTATTTTTTATACAATGTTCTGCCTGCATGTATGCCTGCAGGCCAGAAGAGGGCACCAGATCTTATTATAGATGGTTGTGAGCTACCATGTGGTTGCTGGGAGTTGAACTCAGGACCTCTGGAAGAGCAGCCAGTGCTCTTAACCTCTGAGCCATCTCTCCAGCTCCTAAGTTGCCTTTATTATCTTTCTTTTTTTCTTCTAATTTTGAAGAATAGAAAAATCTTACATATTGCTGAAGTGTAACTAAATTATCTTTACCTAATTTTTGTCTATCTACCTATATTATTTATCTTTAAGGTTCTATTTCTAGTGTGAAATTGACAGGTTCTGTACCATTATCCTGATGCATAAAGTTGTTATTTGGATTCATTTATAGTGGTGAAGTGTTGCTATGAGTTACTAGAGTTTGAAGGTACCAAGAAGCTCATCCTTAGAGAAGCCCTTTAGATATATGTGGTCAGAACATTTGAAACACCATAATTCATATTAAATAGCTAGGCATAATTATTTAAATTTATAAAACAGATTGGAAAGTAGCACATTTTAAAACTAGTGGTATTTTCCCTTCATCCCAGCACTTGGAAGGCAGAGGCAGATAGATCTCTAGTTCCAGGCCAGCCTGGTCTACATAGTAAGACCCTGTCTCAAAAAGTAGTGTTGTCTCTCTGGTCTGGTTTTTATAAATCTAAGGTCATATTGCATACAATCCCTCATATGCATTGAATGCATTTGAGCCAGCAGCATTCTAATAGCTAAATAGAATTCTTGTGACTACTCTCAGTGGTCTTTTATCTACCCTGTAAACTAGGCTGGCTATTTAATTTCTATTCCTTCTTTCTCTGCCCTCATGAGTGCTGGGATTATAGGCTTGTGCCACCATACCTTGCTGGGGGCTTTGGCTTTTTTTGGGGGGGTTATTATTTATTTGCTTGAGACAGTCTCACAATGTAGCTTTGTCTGGCCTAGAGCTTTCTGTGTATACCCAACTGACCTCAAAACTCACAGGGATCCACCTGTTTTGGTTTTCTGACTTCTAGGATTAAAGGCATGTGCCATCACACCTGGACTAAATTACAGTTTTCAAAATCTCAGCATAAAATATTCATGATATTAAGCCCTTATTAGCCGGGCGTTGGTGGCACACACCTTTAATCCCAGCACTCGGGAGGCAGAGGCAGGTGGATCTCTGTGAGTTCGAGACCAGCCTGGTCTACAAGAGCTAATTCCAGGACAGCCTCCAAAGCCACAGAGAGACCCTGTCTGGAAAAAACAGAAAAAAGCCCTTATTTTTTTATCCATTTTTAATTTTTTGATTTCATTTTACATTCCAACCACAGTTCTCCCTCCTACCCCCTTCTTCCATCCTCCCTCCCCTCCCCCTAGCTCACCCCCCAGTCTACTCCTTACCAGTAAGGGCTCTCATGAGAATCAACATAGTCTGGCACAATAGGTTGTGGCAGGGCCCAGCCTTTGTCCCATGCAATTAATACTGAGCATGGCATTCTGCCATTCAGAATAGGCTCCAACAAGTTAGCTGGTATACCAGGTTTGTATCGTGGTTCTACTAGCATGGGCCCATCTGATAGTTCAAGCTTCATAACTGTCTTCCATATATGGAGGGCCTAATTTAATCCCCTGGAGTCTCCACAGTTAGGTTTATAGAGTCCATGAGTTTCCACAAGCTTGGTTCAGCTGTCTCTGTAGATTTCTCCATTATGATCTTGACCTCCCTTGCTGATATATTCCCTTCTCCCTCTCTTTGCCTGGATTCCCAGAGCTTGATCTGGTTCTTGGGCATCTGGTTCCATCAATTATAGGATGAGGGCTCTATGATGATAGTTGGGATATTCATCTATCTGATTATAGGGGTAGGCCAGTTCAGGAATCCTCTCTACTATTGCTTGGAGTCTTAATTGGGGGTCCTCCTGTGGATTCTTGGGAGTTACCCTAGCACCAGGTTTCTCCCTAAGCCCATAGTGGCTCTCTCTATTAAGATACCTTTTTCATTGTTCATCCACTGCATCCCTCCCCGCCTAGGCCATCTCCTTCCCCGCTGTTACTACTCCTCCCTCCACCCCCAGTTTGCCCTGTATATATATGATCTATTTTCTCTTCCCAGGGTGATCCATGTGTCCCTCTTAGGGTTCTCTTTGTTACCTAGCTTCTCTGGAGCGCTGGACTTTAAGCCTGGTTATCCTGTGCTATACATCTAAAATCCACTTATGAGTGAATACATACCATGTTTTGTCTTTCTGAGTCTGTGTTACCTCAGGATGGTTTTTTCTAGTTCCATCCATTTGCCTGAAAATTTCATGAGGTCATCATTTTTTACCACTGAGTAGTACTCCATTGTGTGAATGTACTGCATTTTCCTAGTTTCTTTTCAGAGCATATAAATCTTTCACCTTTTAAACCCTTATTTTTTGAGACGGGGTCTCACTATGCATTCCAGACATAACAGAGATCTAACCACCAAGCCCAGAAGTCAGTCAGTCAGTCTGTCTGTCTGTCTGTCTGTCTGTCTGTCTGCTCTTCTTCTTCTCCTCCTCCTGCTCCTCCTGCTCCTCCTCCTCTTCTTCCTCCTCCTCCTCCTCTTCCTCCTCTTCTTTTTGTTAGTACTGGGAATTCAAATGTTCTACAACTACCTGTCCCCTTTTTATTTTGAATAATTTTAATTATTTTTATTCTCTCTCTCTTTCTCTCCCTCTCTCTCTCTCTCTCTCTATCTCTCTCTCTCTTTCTCTCTCTCGCGTGTGTGTGTGTGTGTGGGTGTGTGTGTGTGTGTGTGTGTGTGTCTCTGTGTGTGTGTGTGTCTGTCTGTGTGTCGTCTGTGTGTGTCTGTGTGTGTCTGTGCGTGTGTGTGATTGTATTCCATGGAGGCCAGAAAAGTGTGTGTAATCCCTTGGAGCCAAGTTCAGATGTTTGTGAGTGGCCAGACAAGGGTGCTGAGACCCTAATTTGGGTCACCTGGAAAATCAGCAAGTGCTATCTCCTCAGTTCTGCTTTTCCATTTCCAAGTAGGAGCTCACTAAACTGCCTAGCTTGGTCTTGAACTCACTCATTAGCCCAGACAAGCTTTGAGCTTGTGATTCTCCTGCCAGTCTCCCAGTTAGCAGACAGGCCACTGGCTAACCTTTTTAAAACTCTTCCCCCAATCTGTACTTGTGGAAAGTGTTTTATTGTTGATCTCTGTGAGGTAAATATGGAATTTGTCTCAAATTTGGAAATTCCCAGTGTAGTAGTAGTATTAGTTACACACGAGTAATGCTGGAACTGACATAGAAGGGAAGACTTCAGTTTGATTGGCCCTCTTGAATACAAACTAGATTTCCTTTTTTTCCTTTTAATTTTTACCCTGCTTTGGATTCAGTGGGAAGTTTGGGTAGCAGATGAAATATAAATTATGTAAGGTACCTTCGTAGAACTAAGGCTGGTATTGGCACAGCCCTGCCCACTCTACCTTCTTACAGCTTCTAGAGCAGGAGGTAAAAAAAATAATTAAGCTCATAATATTAAAAAAGTCAGTTTGGGCAACTGAGTGTGAGGAACACATTTTCAAAGGAAGAATTTTCTATTGTGTAAATTTTCAGCAACCTGTATTAATTCATACTAGGAAATTTTTTTCTTTGTTTTCTCTCTTTGTCTGAACCCCCCTCCCCCCCCATAACAGAGAGAGACAATCAACGACAAGACGGCCAGAACAAGCTCTTACAAGGCCATTGAGGCAGCCTCCTCACTCAAGAGCCAGGCAGGTAATATGGTCAGGGTCCTTCCTTCCTGGCTCTTCTGGGTGCCTGGGCGGGTGAGCAGAGCAGCCTGGTCCTGGTCTTGGGGAGCCTCTAGTGTGGTGACCTAAGAGGGATAGGGATAAATGAGAACAGGGCTGGGAAACAAGAGATCCAGCTGGTATCAAAAACAAATAGGAAAGAAAATCTTGTGGAATTGAAAAATAACTTATTTAATGTGCAAATTGTCATACTCAGTCATATTGCAGTCACTTTTCTACTGATTTTCACATGACTTCATGTTTCAATTTGAAATTTATTAGAAGAGAAATTTAAACCAGAAATACTCAGATTTGTTATTTTATGGGATGAGTTGTTACCATAAATTCTTGCACTCTAATTTAGGCTGTTGATGGTTCCTACTTATCAACCAAGAGTAAAAGTTATGACTAGTTGTTTCTATTTCATATGATAAAGAAATTGGCTCAAAGAATTTTCTATGAAAAAAAGAGCCAATCAGTAAAAAGGAAAAATGAGACCCTTTGACTTGTTTGTAGATTATTCTGTTGAGACTTTTGATAGATTAGCACAGGAGCTCTCCATCTCCAACTTTGTGGTGGAAAGATACGGTTGGAAAGACTGTTTTTTCTTTGTGTCGCACAAGATGTCAGGTTTTTAAAAATCAGCTATTTTTTAAACAAGCATTTGTGGATGATTGGAAATTTGGACATAGGATTGCTATTTTTAAATATGAAAGTGGTACTATATTTAAATTTTTATTTTAGAGGTATACGCTAGGCTTTTTTATGCATGAAATTATATATGGCATTTGTGTCAGATAATTCTGTAGGGTGTCATGGATCTAGGTGTGGATGAAGCTGCATTGGCCCTGGCTTGTTGGTTTTGGGAGGTAGGCTGTGAGATACAGGATTCATTGTATAGTTTGTCTGCTTTTTTTTTTTTTTTTTGTTGTTGTTGTTGAATTTTTTATGATAAGTTATGCCCTTACTGACAACTAAGGAAGGACACCAGAAGATTCATCTTTATGACTTCACTTATTTGAGGGATTATTTAAAGGAGTAAGGAGGTGTGGGAGGTTTAAGATTTTAAACTTTATAAAATAAATTTATTTTACAGCAACGAAAAATCTGTCTGATGCTTGCAAACCACTGAAGAAGCGAAATCGGGCTTCTGCAACAGCGTCTTCAGCACTTGGGTTTAGCAAAAGTTCATCTCCTTCTGCATCCTTAACTGAGAATGAGGTAAAATAATGATGATAGTGATACCATGGCATTCATGTGAAGACCATTCATTAGTTACTCAAGTTGCATTGTCAATGAAAATCCTATTTTAAAAGAATTATGTTGGTGTTCTCCATAGGTATAGGTGAGTTTCAGGTGTTCTTAGCCATCTAAATTCACAAAATTGAAAAAATAGTGCACTATTTTAGTTTGAGTACTTTGAGTATAAATACATACATGCACATGGTGAATGTGCAAGTATACATACATACTTCAGTCTTGTTGCAGAGTAATCGTTGTTGCAATCTGTTTTAAAATGGTGTGTTCTGTAAACCTCACTCTTGCTTTCTCACATGAAAGGAAATTCACACTGGCTCTACCAGGACATACTATGTTGGCCACACTGACACTGTTGGCCACACTGACACTGACCACAGTGCACTCACACTGGTGGAATGGAGGGGCTCACAAGCCTGTGGGGAAGCCAAAGGTTTCTTGGTCTTCATGCGTTGCGTGTCTCTGGTCCTTTGTTCTGGCATGTCTAGATGTGAGTGTGGAGGCAAATTAGAACTGTCACTATACTAAGATTCCTGTGTTTTCTGGACTTGCAAAATGTATGATAGTTGAGAAGTAGGTGGTATGATAGCAGGCTGCTGCTGTCAACACTGTAGTGTAGCATGTAGATGGTGTTACCAAATCTAAAGACTGCCATTGACAAATTAAGGAGCAGCCACAAATGCAGGAATGTTTGTTTTTATTTTGTTTTGTTTTGTGTTTTTGTACAGATAGTTTTAGTTTGATTCTACTACCTTTATGGATCTTACTTTCCATTTTTAATTTCTTGTTATTTTGATCTCTGTAATTATGTTTATTTGTTTTTGGGTTTTTTTTTTTTTTTCATTGTAAACTGGAGATTTATTTTCACAATATTTGTAAGGAGTTGATAACCTTGGTCTTCATGGAACAGGATAGTGAGGTAGGAACGAGACAGGCCCCTTTCTCCTTTTGGATCATAGGCAGCACTTCTGGCCAGGCCTCTTCTATGGTCCCTCGTAGGGCTGGATGTGTCTTTGCTGTTTCTTCCCATTAGTGGAGGGCTGGGCTTTCCATTGCATGATGGTCAGAGACCTGGGTGGCCAGTGGAACACCTTTGAGAACTCTGTTGCTCACTGCTCTGAACCTGAAAGTGTGGTGTAAATCTAAACTGTTTCTTTAGTAGGATCTCAGTCACAGACCAGCTCAGACATAATCTCAAGTGCTCATATTCATGGGACTGGGGCTTGATGATAGTTGTTATGTGTAGAAAACTAAGCATTTTATATAAATGTGTATATTCAATTTGTTGCTGAGCTTTTATCTAAAATGTTACTAAAACAAAAAGGCTAGTTTTATACAAATTATTTTCCATTTTCCTCTCTTATCCACATTTAGATTAGCAGTCTAGAATACTAAAGATGGTCTAAAGTTCCAGATAATCATATTAAAAATGGAAGGTTTCTGTTCTAGAAATCCTTTCATTTAGGCATTTTAAGTTGGAATTTTCATTTATGATTTTTTTTTTTAAGTGCTGGGGTTGGAACCTAGGGATTTGTGAATCTAGGCAAGTGTTCTACCTTATAAAAATTTTAAACAAGTTTTTCTTGCTTCATAGTTTGGTCTAGTTATCCAGTTGATACTATACTATTGTCAGAAATGAGAGAGAGAAAAATATTAAATTACTGAACTTGTGTCTATCATTCTTGATTATCAGTAGTGGGTGTTGAAGGTGAAGACAGTGAGGGTGGAACAGAGAACAGCAGCTGGTGCCATCTCTGGCTCAGTATGAACTTGGAAAGACTAAGCTGAAGTATTTTGTAACAAGACTTAGTTGCAACATCAGAAGTTGATAGTTGATATAAGTATGTTTATATTATACAGGCAGTGCATTGAATTCAAATCCCTTCTTACATTTTGAAGGTGATAACATAAATCTCACAATATGAATTATGTATGCTCCTTATATAAAATAATTTTAATTTCTAGGCCTTCTCTGTTAGACTACTTGTGTGGCTTATGTGAATATTCTTTATAGCTTATTTCATAGAGTTGCAATGTTAATTTAAAAACTTTAGGTAAAAAAGTAGATTTATCTAGTATGTATCAGCATTCCTGGCCCCCACAGTGAATGCTTACAGATATACAGGGCTGAGTGCCTGTTAGCACGTGAAAAAAAGCATTAGTGTTATGAAAGGCTGTGGAGACTGTGTCTGGTTCTGAGGTGAAAATTACTGTTTGGGATCAGACCACCTCTTCACTTTGGGACACACGTTTTTGCATGTTTATATTTTCCTCCCTTCACACACTTGATTGAAAGAAAGGGGATTATGTAGGGTTAGTATTATAAGACCTTTTAGGTCATGTTGCAGTTTAAGTTCTTGAAAAATGTATATGATAAATTAGAATAATTATTAATTACATGGTATTACATTACCCCAATGAAGAGATTAAAATTGCACACTTGCATGACAAAGGCCTGTGAAGGAATTTATGTGATTTAAGTGTTTTGTAACTTCATTTTTTGTTCCCTTAGTAGAGCAAATTCTTATTTTTTTCGCCTTCACTGGTAACAGCTTTTATGGGAGCCCACATCAGTCAAGTTGGACTTGAATTCAGCCGCCCTGTACTGCACTTAGAATGATGTAATACCCCAAGATGTCTGCTGCAGGTGGTGCATCATCGTATACACTAAGTGACATTTCTATCACAATCATTTTATGGAAGATGTGTGATAATCTGTTTTTACTGGTATTAATAAACACATACAATGAAGAAAACAGATAACAAATTTTAAGACCAAGGTAAGATACCCAATCAAGGCCATTTAATCAATCACATTCATCTCATAATAGAAACACATTCATATTCTAAAGATCAGTTTGAAGTTCAAGTTGAGGAAGAGGCCCTCCAATGAGGCTGTCCCAGAGCTGTGACAGTGGCACCATATTGAAGAGATTATCCTGTTAATGCTCATTTTTTCCTCTAATTCATAACTTACTGAATTTTTATGGAAAAATGTCAGCATCTGTTCACCATCAATAAGACAGAACAAGCAGGACACATTAAGGGGTCCTTTGTCAACTATTTTCATTGCCAATGAAATGTATTCAGTATTGTAGATATTAAACCAGTTTCCCACATAAAAGGCAGGAGGAGTTTTGATTCTGTCCTTTTTTACTCAACAGTTTTACTATGATACTAGACACAGTAGATTTTTAGGGAAAAATGCCATTTACAGTATCATTGTGAACCATTCAGCTATTGATCCAGTCACTGATATCTAGAAGACACCATAATCAGATTATTTACAACAATCACATCATCAGTTGCTTTTGTAGAACATCAGCATCATGTTTTAAATGTTGTGGTCCTGGATGCCCATCTGGGGCATACCCAGGTGCCCGCATGTTTGCATGGGAGGAAAGGCTCCACTTGCCCTCAGCTCAAGAAGCAGAGCTTGTGCTGTGCACGGGGTGTGTGAGTGGTGCCCAGGCCGTTTCACACAGACACCTCAGTGTTGGACCTGTGATGAAAGTTTCTGAGAAATACTTTTGTTCCAAACCATTAAGTAATGTAACGCATGTAAAATACATAGAGTGCCTGGCACCTTGCAAGGATTCACTCAGTGGTTCACTATTGTGACAGTAATGGTTATTACAATAAAAATAATAAAATCACCACCATTCCATTTTTTATCCAAAAGTATAAATTTTTCTTTGGCATGAAAAATGATCCTCTTGACTGCATCATGCATGTGTGGATAAAATAAATCCAGGAGTAGCAGAACCCTAGCTCTGTTTGTGTGACATAGTAGGGTATTAGACTGTGAGGTTTGGTCTAGTAGGTCACTCAGCTGGCTCTGCTCAAATGTAATGAGAGACATGACCTCAGAGAATACCTAATGTGAGCATTCTAAGTTGTACTGTTCTTAAAGGACTTGAAAGATCTCAGGTAAATTTAAAAAAATATTAAAATATAAATCACAAAATTAAAAAGTGTGAAGAAATATGATGGTGTAGAAATGGCCCTGGTTCAAGAAGTGATTTCTCAAAAGTAAAGCCACTATACTGAAAGGTCTTGGGCAGAAATGAAGGGATTTCATTTGAAATTAGAGCATGATGAATTTTGAGTGGTTGCCCAGGTAGCAGCTAGTATGTATATGCAGATACAGCAGGAATCACCAGAGGACAAGCATTTTGTTCTGTGATAGGAGAGTGGGGCTTCGGAACTAATGGTGATGTCCGCCGTGTGGCACAGTTAGTACCTGCTGAGTTCAGAGAATATCAGGGGAACAAGGGTGGGGATCATGGATGATTCTTCAGCTGGGGAAGACATAGCCCACTGGGGGCAGGGGTAGGAGCAGGGTCCTTGCTCTGCATTCTGCAGTGAGTGCAGAGTGATAGTCCTCTGTGTAGGATTATCTTGCCCCAGAGACCAGCAGTAGTCTTACAGTAAATAAGCAGAGTTCATGTCAGCTCTTGGCTGATCTCTCCTAAAGGAGTTGAGTAGGAAAGAAATGGCTCTTAAACAAGAGTCTATCAAGAAGCAATAGCTTGTTTGCTAAGAATACAAAATTATGTAACTAATTTGTTATGCTACAAATTTAACATGGAATTCCTTCATTTTGTATAAAAATGTCAAAAAAGCAATGCTACCTCTCTAGCCTTAGGTCTTTTGAACTGCCCACTGTTGAATTTTGCTTCTGCCGTACAGAGAATTATTACCATTTGATCCTATTTGGCTTCCTTCAAACCATTGTTTGTATACTATGTTTGCCTGGCAAGGGGAAGTAGCTTTCTGTATAAAACTCTGATTTGAAAGAGGTGAAGACTTGGGTGAATGTACAAAGGTTTGGATTGTAGCTGTTCTGACAGTGTAAGTTGTCTGTTGCACAGAGCAGCACACCAGGGAGTACACATGCTGGATAGAGGCCTGTGCCCAGCAGCCTAGGTCCTTCAGGTGCTCCTCAATCAGCCCCTCTGCTC